TCTTCACTGGAAATTTGGAAAAGTAAAAATCCAGAAGCATGGCACTTGGGAGGCCGAAGCAGGAAGATGCTAGCCTGGGCTACAAAGTGAGTTCAAGGGTTCCTGGTCTATACATTGAGCTGCTATCTCAAAAAGTAAATGCTGGAGATGGCTCAGTGGTTAAGAGCATTTAATGCTCTTGCAGTAGAGTTTGATCTGCAGCACCCACAGTGGGCCCTGCAGCCCTGTGACTCCCAGCTCCAGGCAGATCCAACTCCTCTGGCCAGGGAGGGCACCTGCACTCATATACACATACCTACACAGAAGGACATATATGCACATAATTCAAACAATAAAATTTTAAGACAGTATGGGGCTGGAGAGTTGGCTCAGAGGCTAAGAGCATCGGCTGCTCTTGCAGAGGACCTAGATTTAATTCCCAGCACCCACATGGTGGCTCATTGCCAGCTGTAACTCTAATGTCTTCTCCTGGCCCTCAAGGGCACTGCACACATGCAGGCCAAACACTCATACACATTAAAATAAAATTAGCCAGGTGTTGGTGGCGCACGCCTTTAATCCCAGCACTCAGGAGGCAGAGGGATCTCTGTGAGTTCAAGACCAGCCTGGTCTACAGAGCAAGTTCCAGGACAGGCTCCAAAACAATACAGAGAAATCCTGTCTCAAAAAACCAAAATAAATAAATAAATAAAATTAAAAGTGAAGGAAAAATTTTTAATGCAAACAAAAATAATAACTTTGAGAAATTTAATAAGAGCTAAATATGAAGCTAAATTTAATAAGAGCTAAATTTAATAAGAGCAAGAAGAGGCTTACATATCAATACTTCAGATATTTTTAACCCAATAAAGCTTAACTGGATAGTAAGAGCCCCCAAAGCTTGGATTTTTCAGACTGGCAGGTGAGGGCAGCCCAGCATGTTGGACTTTTTATGCAGTGGGAATTCTTACCTGAACTCGGGCTTTACACCAATGTCTTTCTGCTGAAGATCTTGAAGGCTTCTTGTGATTTTGTTAAAGTTGGCATCCTAGCAACAGATTTGAGTAAAGCTTCAATTAAGATTTTTGGAGAGGGGATTGGAGAGATGGCTCAGCAGTTAAGAGCACTGACTGCTCTTCCAGAGGTCCTGAGTTCAATTCCCGGAAACCACATGGTGGCTCACAACCCCCTTGAATGAAATCTGGTGCCCTCTGCTGGCATGCAGGCAGAAGACTGTATACATAATAAATAAATAAAATCTTTAAAAAAAAAAAAAAGATTTTTGGAGAGAGGCAGTGATGGTGAACTACTTTAATCCTAGCACTTGGGACGCAGAGGTGGGCAGGTGAATTCGAGCCCAGCCTGGTCTACAGAGTGAGTTCTAGGATAGCCAAGGGTACACAGAGAAACCCTGTCTCAAAGAAACAAACCAAAACAAACCAAAACAAACAAACAAAAAAAACCCACAAACCGATTTTTGTTTGTTTGTTTTGAGACAAGGTCTCTGTACATAGCCCAGGCTGTCCTGGAACTCGACATGTAGATCAGGCAGGCCTTAAGCTCACAGAAATCTACCTCCTTCTGCCTCCCGAGTGCTAGGATTAAAGGCATTAAGATTTATTTTTAATTGTATGCGTGTGCCCTGTGTCTGTGCATATGACTGCGGGCGCCCACAGAGGCCAGAAGGTGCTGGATCTCCCACACCTGGAGTTACCAGAGATTGTGGGCACCCTTCATGGGGGCTGGGAACCAAACTCACATCCTCAGCAAAAGCAGTGTGCACCCTTTTAGTTAATTAATTAATTAATGTTTTTAGTTTATGTATACTGGTGTCTTGTCTGTGTGAGGGTTTTGGATCCCCTGGAACTGGAATTAAAGACAGTTTTGAGTTGTCATGTAGATGCTGGGAATTGAACCCTGGTCCTCTGGAAGAGCAGCCAATGCTCTTGACCATTGAGTCATCTCTCCAGCCCTCAGTGTGCACTGTTAACTGCTGAGCCATCTCTCCAGACCCAAAGCTTCCAATTTCTCAGGGTAAGGCTCTCATCCTGGAGAGCAAAGATTGCAAACTTACCTCATTTGCCTCCATGGTCCCCACGTATTTAAAGATCAGGTCATAAATATCGTGATGGACATACATCTGTGGAAAAACAGACCCCAGGCGTGGGGTGAGTGTCAGGTGACAGCCAGTCTCCCTGCCACCGCCCTCGGTTCTCTCCTTACCTCTACTGCCTGCTTCATAAGGTTCATCTGGGCCTCCTGCTTCGCAAGAACCTTCTAGAATTCAAGAGAAATGCTGGTTGAGAGTTTGGATCTGCACTCGTGCAAACTGCTGTTGTTTTGTGTAGCTATCTGCTTACCAGGTGAGAGTCTCTCAGAAGCTGCTGGAGGCATTTGGTGTAGAGAGCGTTTACGGAGTCCTGCACAACACAGAACAGAGAGAGGAGACCCCTCTTACCACAAAAGCCTGAGTGAGTAACACATCCAAGGGTGACGGGGTCTAGGCCACAGGCACGCTTTACCAAATCATCTTTTTAAGTTGATGTTCAGCTCTTTAGAATTACATTTATAGACTCCGGATGTGTCTGTAGTGGGGGGGCGGGGCATATATGATACGGGGCTTTGGAGGGCGACTTTCAGGAGTCAGCTCCCTCCTTCCACCACGTGGGTCCAGGGAATCCAACACACACTGTCGGGCTTGGTGGCAAGTGCCTTTAACCTTGTCTGCTCTCAACTTTTTAATATGTTTGCATGCTTGTATATTTGTGTGTGTGTGCATACTACAGCACCCATGAGTGCAGAGGTCAGAGGGCAGAGGGCAGAGGGCAGCCTGGGGTGTCAGTCCTCATTCAGCCTCTTGCTGTTTGCCACTGTGCTGAGTACTTGGAGCTAGCTGGCTCACACACTTCTGGAGGATTCTCCAGCCTCGTCCTCGCCTTCTCTCCTAAGTATTCTGAGATTACAGACACATGCCACTGTGTCCAGCTTGGATGTGGGCTGGAGAGATCTGAACCCAGGCAGTCTGTCTTGCACAGTGAGCATTGTCTACCCACTGAAGCCTTTCTTTTAAAAAAGATATATGGGGAAAAAGTTCTCCCTGAGGTTAACATAGCTGGCAACTAAGTTTCGTTTCTTTTTTCTTTTTTTGTTGTTGTTTTTTTGTTTTTGTTTTTGTTTTTTTAACAGGGTTTCTCTGTGTTACAGCCCTGGCTGTCTTAGAACTAGCTCTTGTAGACCAGGCTGGCCTCAAACTCACAGAGATCCGCCTGGCTCTGCCTCACTTCCTGAGGGCCTTACGCTACTTGTATAGTAGAAAAAATTTTTTTTTTTTTTTTTTTTTTTTTTTTTTTTTTTTTTTTTGCTGCAAACTGCATGAGGCTTTATTGTTTTTTAACGAGCTAACCCTATGCTAGCTCGGGTCTTTTGTCCACCCACCATGGCAGATGGCTACAAAAAGACCAGTAGAAACATTTTTAACAAAACTTCTAGCTGTGGAACGGTACCCAGTGGGATTCTAGAGCAGACAGAGTGATCAATGGCTCTGGAGTGAGAACTGAAGCCAGGCAGAACAAGACACAGCTACTAACTATGTGATGGCGGAGACTCTTTCTTTCACATTCTCGGAACGCCCGGTGGAAAGATGCGATGTTCTTATCAAATCTCTCCGAGTGTCTTCCCAAAAATTCTCTCACCTCTTCAATGGTTTTCAGGGAAAAGGGATCCGAAGGTGCTGAAGGTTCTTCTGGAAAAGACAGAGGGTCAGGCTGGCTACAGTTTCCTCTGTTTCCAGAGTGATGGACTGGTGGGGAGGAGGGGTTACATCTTTTCCCGTGTTCCTGATGAATCTAGAGCCCCAGGTTCCAAGAAAGGATGCCCAGGGACCAGGAAAATGTCCACATTTTAAAATACTGCCCAAGAAAAGAGCTCAGTTGAAGGAGATCCCAGAGTCCAGAAAGCCACACAAGGTCTTTTCAGGGAACAAAATCACATTAATCTGTGACCCTAAGTAGGACCCACGGGGCTGAGGAGAAGCTGATTCCTGGCAATTCAAGCTCACGGTGCCTTTGGCACAGGGACTGTGCTGTTTCCCAGGGCAACTAAACAATCCATTGAAATCCAATGAGCTCTCAGTGAAACAACGGTGCAGCTAGCTAACACCACAAAGTAAAACCCTGAGGCTGAGGCCCAGATACAAAGCCAGGGCTCCAGCTCTGCACAGCTCCAGGGACAACCCTTGTCACAAATTGATCACAGTAGTGAGGCCTCTGAGAATGCACCACCTGGAAGCCTATCACAGCCGACAGAGCAGCCTCAATCCACATCGCCTCAGCCAAGGGAAGCCTTAGGCCAAGCCCCAGAGGGGATTTTTATAGAGTTATGCTAGTCTCTAGCGGGCTCTTTGATATGTTTTGTGTGTGATATTCAAGCTTTTAACAGTTGTGTGAGGGGAAAAGAGGTCGAGTGCAGGTATTTTCTTGGGAGAAGAGGGCGGTCCCCCCTCGGTACCTGAAGTCTCTCTCTTCTCCAAAGGATGAGCAATGCAGAGGATGCTGAAACTCTCTTCCTTTTCATTGTAGAAAGTCTCTTCAAAGAGGATGGGCACAGATAGAAAACAAGCAAAACCAGCTCCTAGCTTAATCCTGTTTCCCTCAATGAGGACATTCTGGAACCAAGAAAACATCATTGGACCGGCCGGCGGTGGCAGCCATGGAGACCCCTTGCAGCCTCCTCCCAAAAGGTACTCAGGCAGAGTCTATGGCTCCGCCCCAGTGCGGGTCACTTGGACATGGGACTAGGAAGCAAGGAACAGATATGGCAAGAACATATGTGAGAGAG